GTTTTTATAGGAATGGCTGTTAGTCTAAATTATTCAGAGTTCAGGAAGACATATGTGCTGCCCCCCTTCAGTAGCATAGCTAACTGAACACATAAATACCTGCTACGAGGCAGGTGAACTGTCAGAGAGAGTGCAGAATCTGGCATGGATAAGAAGAGGAATTGCGCGGAGTCATGACACTCCTAAATCATGAGCTGTAAGAATGTCAACAGGATAGCAGCAGCCATATACATAGGCTCACACAACAAGGCAGCTACATTTAAGAAACAATTGTGGTGTGTTTGACATGCCATTGCCATGCAACCAAGCTTTTCTGCATTTTAGTATGACCACACATATTTGGAAAAAAAATAGAGGATGGCCATTTGGGGATGGTCATATAACAAACATAAAAATAAAAAAAAATGTAGTTGAATAAAAGGAACAACTTTCGGAACATTTATTGGTTTGGGGCTTTAAAATGGACAAAATTACAATTATTGAACAGTCAAAAAAGGACATTTATACTTGTGGCTTTAGGTTGTATCTCTGGCAAACTCACTTACTGTAATGCTTAGCTTGCTCTGACAACCGAGTGACATGTAAGACCAACAACTGGAAAAAGACCTTTTGGACTTTTATTCCTGCATTTTGTCAAACATAAAAGTGCATTTTATAGTCACTTAAAACTAAAAAGTCCTCATCCATCAATTTTAGCTTCAGTTCTGCTAGGGAATATCTCAATAACCTATCCACATCGTACTGCAGAGGTTTTTGACTCTGTTCTCATGGAAAATACAGCTTCTGCTCCATTTTCTGGTAGTATTTGATAATGTAAAGTAATATTTAGGTCATAGCTCAGGTTTGGATTGAAACTTAATCTTCTGTAAAGGTGATGACCTTTAAAAAGTTGCTCATCCTCTTGAGTGATGCATTAGCAGTATGACTAAGGCTATGTGGCTTAAAAAATAGTGTTCTTTCATTTGGTGTTAAGGTTTTTTTCAGCAAAAGTAAGCAATGTGAAATTGTACTGTGCTAATGTCTGCTAATGTTCTACCCTAAGGACATGAACATTTTAAATTCGAGTTGTATTTTAATAGCTGAAATCAGAAGAAACAATCTGCATATGTCTGACAATCTTTGAGTACTTCAAGAATTTATGTACATTTTCAGCAATCTGACAGTGACACAACATCTTTTGACAATCTCACAGAACCTCTACTTAATAAAATTCTTTAACATAAAGAAGTTTCAGATAAAAAATGAAATAGGCAAATCTGAAAATGAAGCATCAAGCAATGGGCAGCTTCCAGTACGCAAATGAAATGATCAGAATGCAGCAAAGGTCAGATGTCTTTTACATTTGAGAGAATAATGAGGATTTTGTATTTGTTGCTTGCACAAACTTATGCACAGTACTGCACTAAGTGGGTGTGCAATAGAATATTTATCTTTCCTCAACAGGCTTCCATTACACTGTCATGTGGTTTGTTGAGACTGTTTGAGGAGAAAGAATGGAGAGCTATTATGCATAATGAGTTTCCTCCTGTGTGATTTAAATGTTTGTTGTAGCTATGTACTTCCTGACTTTCAATTATCAGATTCTAGTACAGACATTTTATCTGAGTGTTTGATAGCACATGTCCATAAAGTTTTCATCTGGGAATAATCACAGCAAAATTTTGATCCATACATTATTTATGCTTTAACGCAAAATGCCATTCTAAGACAAGCAAGCTGCTTAATCAATGATAAAGATGAAGACAGTTGCTCTTGTGAAAACAAATTGAACAAGTACTTTATGAAAAGAAGGATTTAAATTGTCCATAAATGTTCAATGACTTTCAAATTTGAATTGCTGAGTTATAATTGTTGTTTATCTGTGTCAATGACTTTTATGATGAAAAAAAAGCCTTAAGGACCTATTAACAATTCAATAACAAAAGCAAGGGAAATAAAACTTCCCAGAAAGGTAAGATTTGTCAGTTTTCAGTCAGGAAGGAGGGTTATGAGAGAGGAGCAAGACATGCAGCAAAGGTCATTGGACCTTTACTCAAACTCGTGACGTCCATGTTGAGGGCTAAGACCTCCATACATGATTCTTACTTTGCCCTTGTGCCACCAAGTGCTATTCTAATATGCTATAAAGACAAAAGAGCGAGCCCAAAAACACAGCTCTATGTCCACTGCTCCATATATGTTCTGACTCTCAATTGTCATCATGAGATGTGGCTCATGATTCAAACAATGGAATCTCAGACACAACGATATTTAACGATATGATACATCCTTTACAATAAATTAACTGATGTCTATCATTTACTGTCCTCATTATAATAAATTCCAGGAAATGGCTCATCTAACCATTACCTTTACATGCCTATTCCTCCTCAAGGACATTTTATTCATTTAAATGTAAAATGCCTATAATGCATTCCTATAGTTTAAATGGGACACAGTTAATTCCCTCTATCTTTTTTTCTCTTTCTCTTGGTGTTTGATTTAATTTGGGGAAAGCATATTCTGTTTTGTGATTAAAACTAGATATGTTATGGTTACTGTCAAAAATACATCATAGGACTTGACCAATAGTTTTAAGCTGAAATGTTTTTGTAAGCTGATTTAGATCTAAACACAAAGACAATATGAACAGCACATTCGAGGCACCCTTTTAATCACCTCATTAGCTTTTCATAGAGGGTTTAATGTGAAGCATAGAATAAACAAAATTAAAATTTATGTTTACAGAATGTACACCTATCATTTATTTTAAAGCACAGCATGCTTTGTATGTCTTTTGAGGTTATATAGACGAAGGATGAGATGATGTGAATTTTCTACTTTTCCAGTATGCTATTTGTGCAGTGAGAGACGTTAACAACACACTACTGCACATACTGCTGATTTGCTAATTGTGGAGAAGAGTTACTTAAAGTAGAACACAGAGGGCTAATGATGGCCTTTTATCAGTTATCACCCAGGTGGCATTTTCAGGCCAACTATAAATTCGCTATGAAGATAGCTTTAGTAGATCTACTTTTCATTTAGACTGGCTCATAATTCTGTCAGCTTTTATAGATGGTTTGATATTTTCTCAGTCTAGAGAAGGCTCCTGCTGCAGGTGGAGCTGACAGTATTGATCTACCATTAAACTGAGGTTAAGGCTGTGGCTTCCCTGATGACAGGTGAAGCCAGCAGTGCAAATCACATGCAGCTTTGTAATTCTGCACTGTATTTAACTCGTGCCAAGGTTTTTGACAGGTTTTGCACAGCTCCATACAATGTTATCAAGCAGAAACAATAATAAGAAAGGGTCAAAGCTCAATTCTGAAAAGTTCTATAATTTGCTGTCTGTGAATGTTGTATGTACAGCACAGCAGTACTAATATGTGTAATGGACAAAGTATTCTGAAATACCAGTTCATCTGGAAATCCTTGCATGTGGTCAACACATGTTTGCTACATACTGTGTGCAGCTGTTGGTTCACTAAACGTCAGCTGTCTGGAAACAAAAGAAAACATGACCATGTCAAAATTCAGGAGTGAATTCAATATAATGATATTAGAAATAGTGAAGCCTTTTGAAATTAGTCAAAATCTTCATACAGACCTAGTGCTTTGTAACATACATATATTTTAATAAGATTGAAGTCATTGGCACCCCAAGTGGTTATTGTTAGTCTGCTTTATCCATTCCAAAACCAGTTCTCATATGTGTTCAAAGTCAATGCCAAATTGAAATACAGAGTTTTAACTATTTAGCTGTTGAATTAAGGAGAAGTTGAACAATTTGGAAGATGGTCTTTCCTGTCCAATTTCAGTAACCACTGGCACCAGACCTTCACTATGATGTCACCAGCACTATGAATGACATCATATTGTCATTGTTGCTCAATTATTGTAACATCTGACTCTAAAACGTTTTTATGAAATTATTTTAAGTACTCTTTCAAAACAACAAACTATGTTTGTTCTCAGCCATCCATCTTACCAAACTGTTTACTTTAAATGAAGGCAAATTTGTCAGGATGCGAAAGGATTACCCAGAAACTAACAGCAAGATGCTGGAAAATCAATTTTATTGCATGCATTAAAGCAAAGCCATCTAAGACAGACTGAGGGGATACAGACTAAACAAAATCACCAGCTCCACAATCAATACTTTCAAAAGAAATGTGCAGTTTCCCCACTTGTACCAATTAAAGGTCTTTTAGAGGAAAGTTATATTCCCAAAGGAGATAAAAGAACCTTTCACAAAACATTTCAAGATGGGGCATTTTTTAGAAGTCTATCTGTTTTTAGAAAAGACCAATATGGCAAAGGGGGAAAAAATTCAGCCAAACTCTGTGACTTCTCTTCAAGCAAAGAAGCCACAGATCAATATGGTCTGATTTCTATGAGGGCAAGCTAACTTTCTGGGTTATGGGACCATAAACACAGATCAAAACAGGAAGTAAGAAGGTGAGATTCAACTCAAAAGTGACTTGCCTGTGCAAGTTTCCAAGGAAATGTTGAACTGTCTACAGACTGAACAATATGGCCAATAGATATAACTTCAGAGGAGTTATGATGAGGCTATCAAACTAAAGAGCAATGTACCAACTGTTAAGCAATTGTTAAGCTGTTAAGCATATGCCAACTGCTGAGCAGGGTAAGTTTTCCTTTTTCTCTGAACTGCCTTTTGGTTAAATTTGGCATATAAATAAACTTGATTTGCCTATGCAATATAGTTTGCACTGCATTTATGTAAGCAAAAAAAGTATCAACTATATTCTACTTCTCTGTTTTTTGTTCTTTTTTGGATGTCTTCTTTGTGGTGTTATGCAGAATTGAGAACTTAATAGTTCTGGTTGCACCTCTCCAAATATGGCGCATTTTGCTAATGTACCATTTATAAAGAAACAGTGACACGTTATTAGCAAAACAATCTTTTATTAGAAACATATTGTATAAAAATGAACATGCTTCACACATTTAGATTTTTCTTTTAATATAGATAATTCATAAATATTCAGGCACTGTAACTTTTTAATATTTTTTAATATGTCAGTACATAAAGCAGACATGATCAATCCATTTTAATAACACACATTAACTTACCATTTAACTTCAATCAGCACTTACATATTCTATTTTTGCAACACCCACAGTGTTGTAGAAAAAAGGATCTGTGGCAAAAAACAGGAAATTATTGATATTCACAAACACAAACAATCCCACAAAATACTCAATCAAATAATGAGAAACCATTGCTGCATTATTGTAGACTTGTTGAAGCTGAGTAAATCAGTTATTGAAATTCTTACTTTTTTATAACCACCTGCAGCAGTTTTCCTGTTGAACACTATACTTTTCTCTCAAGCTCTTCTTGTGACATATGAGTTCTGACATGCAACATACAGACTTTTGCATTGCTGAGATAACATTTAATGAAACAAATTCCAGATTTACTATTTATGACCAATACTTGAGACTGAAGACAGGAATGCAGTTTGCACACAACTATAAATTGTACACGTTCAGTTTGGAATTATGCTTGAACAGAACACACTGAACACGACAGTGAAAAATAGAATGGCAGAAGTAGTTGGCAGGAGGCACAGGATGAAGGCACTGGCCCTTATTTATCAAGCAGAAATAACATTTACTTCCTGAAACTATTATTAGGATGTTTTATTTATTTGTGATTGCCAGATGGCAGAAAGGCATAAAAATAGCTCTCAAATGCATATTAGAGATACCAGGACTCTGGTGAATTCTGTAATACAAGACAGGCGGGACGCTATTATTGCATCTACTTTGTCTTACAAACATTTACATACCTTTAACTTTATCACATTTTGCCATGTTACATAATATATATTATATATTTTTACTGAGATTTATCTGATGGACCAACACGAGCATATACTTGTGAAGTAAAAGAAAAAGAATGTATGTTTTTACACCAAACAAATTCAAAAGGTGTACTGTGTGTGCAAAGTCTTCTCCAGAACTTCACAAAGATTCTCAATGGTGTTAGGTTTGGTGTTTGTAGAGGCAGGTCTACGTGTAAAAATCATCTCTGATGCGCCCTAAACCATTCATTTACAGCTTCAGCCTGATGAATCTTGGCATCGTCGTATTAGAATGTTCCACTGTAATCGGGAAGGAAAAAATCTGTAGATGGAATAACTGTGTCATACAGCATATTCATAATGAGGTTCAGAACCTCATTATGTTACTGAACCTGGAGCTAACCAACTACATCAACCCCAGAAACTTGTACTGTAAACACTAGGCATGAGAGGTGTATCACTTCATCTGCCTCTCTTCTTACCCTGAAGAGACTGTTGAATTTTCACACATGGCAAATCTGGATAAGTCTGATCATTTTTATCCTCCTTTGCCAAGTATGGCATTTTTCTCAGTGAATCACAAGTGGTTTGTTTCAGGCCCTACATCTGTTCTGTCCAAGTCCCTTGGGTTTTCTTGATATTACGGTTGTGTAAATGCATTTACTTTCACTACTATACCCCTGAGTTCAACTACTGTTCTTCTTTGAATGGATGTTACCAAATATTTTCGATGACCAATTCCTTAAATGTTCAGGTTTAAGTAATTTTAAGTAATTTCATCCTCAAAGACAACGGTTCCCCACTATCCCTCCAGTTTTTTTTCTTTTTTCATAATGTGGTAGACAGTACTCAATCCAATCTTATTAGCTTCTGCAATTTCCTTAGATATTGTATTGACTTATAACATTTCCACAGGGTGTCTTTCCACATAGTTGTTTTTAGAAATGAGAAGCTTCTCATTACATCAGCTGGGATGAAACAACTTGTTTCCAGCTGTAAGACAGTTGTCCATGCAGTAACTATCCAAACTAAAAGCTCATACTTATTTGCTCAGTTAAATTAAAACAAGTAAAATTTAGACAATTTGTCTTTAACTGTTTGTATAACCTGAAACAAGGTCGATGCACTTTGTCACTTGCAGTTGTTAGTTGGATTTTTGGGAGATTTGCTGTATTTTCACACAGCTGGATCTTTGGGAGGGTCTCGAAATAAAGATGGACAGTTTCTCTACGCTGAAGGTTAGGTCCTCCCAATTAAAAGTTATGATGCTGAACCAGAAATGCTGGTTCCAGGCCTTCTGTGACAAACATCAATTATAAGACTCACACAGTCAGATAGTCACTCTGAACAGTTCAGAACAGTTCATACTGAAAGGACACTGAGCTTATCACATACGTCTCCTTGCTGTTCTCATGCTTGCAAGAATTCCTGTTTGAGTATAGGTCACAGATGGCAACTAAGAGTGACATTTCATTAGTGGAATCTGCCTTTTTCCTTTACTTATTTTTTTCACATTTACAAAGAGCTGCTTTTTTTCTGACGTCCTTAAATAGAATATTGTGAAGCAAGTGTCTTCAAAAGTAATCTAATTTGATTCCCCTTGTGTGCCATTAAGTTTTAGCACAAAGATGTGAACTTTCTGATCTGTATATCTCACGATATCCACCATGAAACAACGATTGCTATGGGGATGCCTTCTTAGGGAAATCAGTTAAGGGGAAGGAGGATGGAGGTCAATGCAACATGCGAAAAAAATTGCAAAAGACTTGGAACTGGGACAGAGAATCTTCAGATTTGAATATTTATGTTCTCAGACACTTTCCATAAAATACAATTAAACTTGAATTTCTGCATTTTGCAAAAAATAATTAGTATATTTACATAGAAGATGTGCACAGCTGGTGGTGACATATGGCAGAAAAAGACCCACAGTTCTAAAAGGCATTGACTATATTTTGTGTGCTTGTAAAGATAATTAGAATATAACATTTAATTTTTATTCTTTTCTGTTGGTTTAAAACAGAATTACATAAAATTCATGATAACGTGATACAATTTGGAAAAGTTTAATGTATATGTAAACTGTTGCAAGCAGCAAGATTGTGCTTGATGAAAGGATGTTTTCCTCATGTTCAACTTTAGTTGAAGAAAAGGAGGTTGTGAAAAACTGAGCCAGTTCTTTTTTCTGTCCAAACAACCTGAACCAGTTGGAAGGAAAATTGTCCATCACTAAGTTCTTTACTAGTCTACTTTAATATTCTCATTTTTCTGGATGAAAGATCTCAATTACTCAAAATTGTCCAGCTTATGTAAACCATATTTTCCTCCAGAAATGCTAATGAAGACCTCAATGATCACATGATATCAAAAACAAGAAAGACAGCAAAATATTATGTGACAAAACAAAAACTGCAAACTATTTAATGCTGCCCTATGTATTCAGTCTCCTGCTTGTTACCTATCGTTAGGTTTACATTTTAAAACGTGCAAAACACTGATATGAGGTTTCTTATCATTACAAACCAACCATTTTGTTAAACCCTGCATTTAGGTGCAAATACAGTTGGCTGTCTATAATGTACCATTTCTGCTTCACTGAGATAAGAGTGAATTAATATTTCTAAACGCAGGGCAAAATCCTGCACTGCGTCTTCAACATTGGAAGAAACAAAGACAAACGGACTCCATCCTAATAACCCGGTTCTGTCAAAAACAACGAGTGTTGGCTGAGGTAAAATGTGAACAATCAGATGACTCCTTGACTTTCCTACAGGTTCTGTCAGTGCAAGATAAATAAGGACCATTTTATTTATGTTGAAAATATGGATTATCAAGTCTGCTGACATGTATGAAGTGGAGACTGATGTTAAAAAAAAATCAGATTGCAATGCCGTTGTGCCTCTTTTTGTGTTTGATTGCTCTTTTGTCCAGCAGAGGGTTGCCGAACAGGCATCGGCTCAAAATGACATCTTCACCGTGAATGACAAATGTGACAATGTTGCATTCCAAAGACACTGAAAACACAGCACGGTACACGGGATGTTCCCATTAGCATGCTCTGGGACTGTACAGGAGGTTTCCCAAGATGATTGTGACGATGTCATCATTGTCATTATGAACATTTTACCAGACAACTGGGCTGACCCACTGATTTATTTTCATGTCTTTCACATGTGGTTAGTTCGTGAAGGAATACTGAGTGTGCTGTCGTAAGGCATGTACAGTATGAAGAGAACTGCAGCTTTCAACTCCACTGTAACTGAAAATACTACGTTTCTATAATGGTTCATCTTGTCAACTGCATTTGAGAAAAAATAAATGTGAAAAAAAAATGAACAGAATACTCTCTTATTTTGTAAAAATGACATGGATCAGCCTTATAGAGAACTGATGATTTCTGTGCTATACACTCCAGAAGAAAAAAACATACTATAAACTCCAGGTGTTCGTCTCAGCATGATTCAAAAACGTCAATAATCAGCTCTCTCATGTCTCAAAAAGAGCCGAAGAAGGAGAATTCCTATCTATTTAAGCTCTTTTACATCTTCTATCTCAATATACTGATTTAATATTAATCTGGCATTCATGCCTTATTCTCTAGAAAAATATGGCATCCTTTTTTGAGTGAGTAATTTCCATGATTCTTTCCCAGTCCCTTGTTTTGCAGCAGCATCAAAGTTCTCCATCAAAATTCCAGTTATCCCTTAAAAACAGGCGATTCCTCCCCTGCGGGCCTTTGCTCCTGTCTCAGGATTTGTCTCCGTCTTAGATGGCATGATTGCTGTAACTTATGTATGTCTGCTTTGAGGCCAGCACTGCAAACGAGGGTGAGAAGAAAAAGCAGAGGGTTAAAATTGAAGTGAAATGGGTGAGCCTCAAATAGGCGTGGGAGTGTAATCTTTAAAAATCCACATTGTGAGAATACAGATTGATGCAAGGCTCTATTTATAGATGACTTCATTAACCCAGCACAGGTGGAACTAATTCTGATTACACGGGTGTTGATGTAAAACTGCGTTTTCGTAAAAACTTCCCATAAACGCTGAGCATTAAAATGGAAATTTTCAAATTGGTAGTGCTGCTCAGGATTTAGTTGTTGTTGTTTTTTTCTTTTCCAGCAAATTATGTAAACAGACCTTAGAGTACAAGGCACTAAAATCAACTGCACATTGCAATAATTAGGCTTTGATATAGAAACAGATAAACAAGAATCTTATTTGTAATTATTTTTTAATCCTGTTTCTGTTATGCTGTGTGCAAAAATATACATGTACAAAAAATGTTTTTCTAGCTGTCTAGTTTCCTGCAAATCCCACAGACATAAACTTCAGAATAACATTAAGAGAACGCAGACACAATATAAGCTGGATTTCAGTAGGTAACATTCAGCCACTTGGCAAGAAATTCTCTCCTCAGAAGGTCAGAAAATTGTCAAGTGAATTGATGATGGAAACCAAAGCTTATGGATAAGTGGGCAAGATCAACATGCTAGACAATTTAAAAACATTTGTATCGTAACAATTTTAAAGAGAAAAATGGAATGGAATGAACCTTACACATGCTAGCTAAATGTTATTAAAATCCAGACATAATCTGCAAACAATGATGAGGAAAACCTGCAGTTCAAACCAAAGCTGCTTTTATAGCTCTAGCAGATTTACATTTACATTTAACCTAGAAGTTGGTCTCTTTTAGGAAATGTCAGGACTGACCTGAACTGTCTAGATGGTTTATGTACATTTCAATGAAAATAGCACATCAAAAATGATTTATGCCCTTCTGAAATAAACAGGGGAAAACAGATTGGTATTATGTCAGTCACAGCCTTATAATTGCTATTAATTTTTTGTGCAAATTTCCATGTGTATTTTAACAATATATGTGTGTGGTAATAAGCTTTTACGATGTTAGAAAATTAAAAAAAGAATTCAACATGATTAATTTATGTACATTGTCTGATAATATTTTTTTGCTTTGAGGATGTTAACTTCAACAGTGTGTTTTGTTGTAATGCCATTTTGTCTCTGGGCCTTCTTGAAAATCCAATTTTAACTCACAATGCATCTTCCCTGCTTATACAAATATTAAAATGTTGTAAAAAGACAAAATAAACTTGTTAGATAGGCCAAAAGCAATTTCAATGTGATTATATATGCAACAGTTTGCATAATTCACAAAATCAGCTTTCTGTTTTTGTGATTATCCAACTGTACCATAAATGCATTATAAGGGGGCAATCGGCATATCACATCAGTAGCATTAAATGCAGGATTCATTCTAGTGCCAGTCTTTCACCGCATGCAAAGACCTGTCAGTTCTGTATGCACCAAGCAAAGCATGCAAAAGTCAGTGAATTGATCATTTGAAAAGTTAAATTACTACAAGATCAGAGGAATTGTTATATTGGACACTGAACATTATAAGCTGATGAAAGCTGTTACTGCTTTTTATTTCTCTGAGCGTTCTTTTATCTGTAAAAATAAAAAATCAACTGGAAAATCATGAATCCATTGATTTACCAAACTTTACAAAGCACAAATCTACTATACATCCTGGACCTCGTAAGGTGTCATGTTTAATAACCACATCTGGTTCATGTGCAAGTGTCAGTGGATGTGCCATGTTTTTTTTAAATAAACGTCCCTCAGTGAGCATGGTGGAGGGAATCATACAACCAATCTGTCCACAACAGTCTTGGCTGATTGAATATGTCAGAGGGGAAAATCAGAATCAGGGAACAGCTAAAAGTCAGGGTGAGCACAAAAAATGGAGGAAGGATTTTTTTTTTAGCAAACACTTCTCTATTTTTGTCAGAGCCATGTTTGGAGTGGGAATGGAAGGCAGTATTCTCGCCACTTCATCCAAAGCATCTCATTCTGGAGAAGCATTGATAAATGAACCTTATTTGAATATTTATGTGCTGCAAGGCCAAGATAAAGAATAGATGGTCCAGAAAGAATTGAACCTGGCAGACCCATCTGTCTTCTCTTGTTCACTCTTATTGTTGTTGTTGTCTCATTACCACAAATTCCTCTTTTGTCAGCAGAGAAACAAATTACAGGGGACACATGACTGTCGCTTGTCTTCTGCTTTCAGGGAAAGTGGTGTCATCTTCCTGCATTCACTGGCTTTACCATACCGAGTGGTCTTTTTAAACATCATACACATATTGTCACCTTCCTAAAACAATGACCCAAGTAATTTTTTTACCAAAAATAAATTAAGGAAAAAGAAATCTCCACCTCTTTCATTCCAAAAGTTTTTTAGGTTAAAACCCCCCCCACAAACACACTTTTTGGAAAATAATGCCTGAGGTCATTAATTTAGGAAGGGGTGATAATTTCCTTTCATGCTCATGTGTGTTGCTAACATACAGTGGAGAAAATAAGTTTTTTTTTTAAATTTAAGCAATTTTTAACATGGCTATTGAAGTTAAATTCAGACCATATGTTGGTAACAACTCAGTCTCATCAGTCTACATATACTGAGAAATGAAAAAAAAAAAAAAATTCCATGAATTAGATATAATAAATTTGAATAGCACGAGTAACCCACAATGCATCTGAAAATACTTATTCAATACATTTTGACAGCATGAGGAAAAGGAGGACCAAAAAGCAGTTTACATATGTCCAAATTTAGAATGTAATTTTGCTCCTTATTGGTGCCAGTTCATATCAATCAGCTAGTTTAGTCTTCACCATATTGCCAAGGTTATATTCAAATAATATCTCATCATGGTTAAAAACAAAGAGCCCTCCTACAACTTTAGTAACCTATGCAAAGCACCTCAGAAGATTTTCCACAGACTTCAAAAGTCAAAGGAGAATCTTCTATAAGAAAGAAGCCCTTGAAGAGATTCCTCAATCAATTTTTGTTGATTTCGCCATATGTGTGAACTGCTTAAGTTGTTACCAACATCTGGTGAGCACCTCATGCCAATAACCTCATTAGAAAGATATTAAACGAGAAAGATATTTCCATGTTCAATGTTTATTTTCACTTCTGTATTAGGGACTGTGATCACTGGCTTGAGTCATCCAGGGTGCTCCATATTAGTCAACACTCATTCAACACAGTGTAGCAGCAAGCAAGTGCTTTACAGGTGTTGAACATTTGAAGAAATTAACAGAAGAAAAGTGATAACAAAATAATAAAAGGGCAAAGTCATTAACTAATCTCATTACCTGGGAGTCTAAAGTCCCTCACAAGGCTCCCCTCCCTCAATACAGTCTGACATATAAGCACAAAGAGCAGTTGTTAGATTCACAGTTCAGATGTGGGAGGTGGGGGTCTTTGCCAGCAAATGGGCTCTATAATTGGATAAGATGGAACAGCTCTGTTCTCAGACACACAAGAAACTAGGCATGCAAGTGTGGGCACAGGCTTGGTCATCCTAAAACACATCCCTATGTACAATTCAACTTGTCGAAACATACAATCAAAACCCTCAGTCATCAGACCAAATGTGGGCGCGTGATTGGATTTAAGCCTGTCCCCACACCGAGACTGCCTACTCGTACATATCATCTTAGTGACTAAAAAGATCTTCTCTCACAACGCGTCTTTGTAACTCTGTAAAAGATCAAATACTGTGTGCCAAATCTCGCACTTTCAAATTCTCTAGAAATTTCTGAGCTAGTAAAAGCGCACCTTTTACTGAAAAATGTGCCTGTATTTCAAGCTGATCAAGTAAATAATCAAGAATAATAGGGAGCATATTTTAAGAAAGACCAAAAACAAGTAATCCTCAAGAGTTTGTGGAAGGATAAAAAAGAAAATCTGAAAAGTGTCTTGCATTTATATTCAACCCCTCTAAATCAATACTTTGTTGAACAACCATTTACTGCAATTACACCTGGGTGTCTTTTATGACATGTCTCTAGCTCTGTATATCAGTTAAACACACAAAAATAGATCAAGCTGAGTCACATTGGATTAAGACCTTTTAGTAACAGATGTAGTCTGGCTTGCACTGACCCATTCATTTGTTTTGAAATGCTAACTTCAGGGGATGAGCGTCCGCTCCCGTATCAAGTTTTTTACAGTCTCTAATGGGTTTCCTTCATGACTGGTCTGTATTTAGCTCCATCTATTAACTAGCTTGCTTGTCCCTGTTAGAGATAATGCCTATAGTGTTATGCAGCCACTGCCTTGTTTTACCATAATAATAGTGTTCACGGGGATGTGGATTGCTAGTTTTCCTTCACACAGTGTTTTGTTTTTGTCTTCTACTCTTTCATTCAAGACAGAATTGTGGAGTGCATCACTAAAAGTAGTTAAGCCACTTTCTACCTCACAGAACAGAGTGTTTTAGTGCGATTAGAATAAGGACATTAGTTATCTGGTGTGAATGAAAGTAATTAGTTTGCCTGGATTTTACGTAGGGGTACTGGAGTACGAAGGCCGAAGAAAAATACATACCACACTTCTTAGATTTTTGCTTTTAGCATTTATCACTTTACTTCCACTTTAATTGTCTGTACTGTTTTGTCGCTGAAAAGTGTGAAAAGGTTCAAGGGATGTGACTAATTTAACAGCTATAGTTGTGCCTAACATGCTTCAGCTTGGACTCAGGTTTTTATACATACAATTGCATTTTCCATCTCTTCATTCCAACAATGGAGTGTTCTACAAACCTTGTGTTTCCAGACTTTCACAGAGTTCAGACTTGGCCTCTCCATTTGGCCTTAGGCCTCCTTTGGGGTTGAACTTGTTCGACATGGTGGCTGCAGTGACCACGGCCTTCAGGCTGCGCTTGCGCTTGGGCACATTCTGCTCTGGATGAAATAGAACCACATAGACCTTCGGCATGTAGAGCATTCCCAGGGAAACGGATGCACTGAGGCTGACAGAGATTGTCAGAGTTGTTGTCTGGATGTACATCTGTATTGTGAAAGTGAAAGAGGAAAAATAAAATTAGATGGAAATACAGTTACATTTTTTTTAGATAATGTTTTATGACTTTTCTCAAAAGCAGACTTTACATCCCGTAAGACAGAAAAATCCAGAATGTAATTTGCAAATGGGCATAGGGATGAAAAACTTTGAGATAAAACAAAATAAATAATTGCCATTATTACGCTTAAAGAAAATAAAAGGGGACAATTTTAAATAATGTCACCCAAACGATAAAGTACCAAAACTTAAAAAGTTTCTTTGTGGGTCTCTCACTGTTTGAGGGACTGGTGCACTACACAAAATAAAAGGCATCATAAGGGATGAAAAGGATGTGAAAATATGAAGCAACATCTTAAAACAGCAATCAGTTAAAAAAGTTGGGCTTCAAATAAATCTTTCAAACACAAAATGAGCTTGACAATACCACAGAAATGTATTTACATAGAGGCTTACGGACAAAAAAGTAAATATTTTAGAGTGGCTATCACAAAGCTCTGATTGTAATCTGATAGAAAATTAGAGGACAGAACTAATAGATGTGTAGATCATCAAGGCAACCTGCAAGACTGACACTATTGCACTGGATCCACGAGGAGGAAGAGGCCACCACTTGAGGAACATTCAGCAACAGTCATCAGTTTTTCAGGGCAATTTAACCAAATACTGGGAAAATGTATGTGCACTTCTGAATATAAATATTGATTTTAAAATCACTCTAATATAAGTTTGAATTTTTAGCAAATAGAAAATAATTTGATTTCCTATTTGACATAAAACTGTAAAAGGTCATCTAAAAAAAAGTCTCCAGCTGATTTTTGAGTCTTGAATATTATATAATTTCCTCAGAAATATTGTGAGGTGCCTTACAGTTTCCAAAGGTAAATCTCATTAGAAAAATAGGAAGAAATGAACAAGTGACTTGCCTCCTCTTACATTACTTCCTCTCTAATGTTAATGATCACAAGGCAATGCATGCACATGGAAACACAGCTGAGAGACATCTTTAAAAGAAAAAAAGCAAAGGGTTTTGTCATTATAATTAGAGGCATCAGAAACAAATTATTTGACACATAAATAGCTAAGAGGGATTTCAGACTTCATGGCAACAGTTAATAATGAGCTGTATATTCAAGTCAAACATATGTTATTCTATATGGACTGGGTTTGACGAGGATGCCTTGACTCAGCAAAGGCTGTCATTAACCACAGTATTTTTATTTAAGTCCAGATTTGAAATTTGAAATCTAAATGTCAAACGTGGAACAGAATTTGTGCATGTGTTAATTAGCTGCTATGTTTTTCTTTTTATTTCAGTCATTTGAAAAACATTTCCACAAGGTTATGGATTGGATTTTAGCAAGAAATTGGATTTGTCTTTAGATATAAATTGATGCACAATTTAGCTATGCACAATGTTTATTTAATTGTATTGTTTATTTCCATTTTATTACATCATTCTATACTGAAAGTCACAGATGTCTTGATGTTTTGATTGTCAATTGATGTAGCTTAGGTTTAGCAACCAAAATGATTGGAATAGCATATTTAATTATATTAAATATGTAAAATCATTTCCATGAAGTGGAAGAGCAAATCTAAATTGTGAGTTATGGCTTTTAATGAAGCAAAAATGAAGACCCCAAAGTTCATGTTGTTTTGGAAAAAAAAACCCTTAAGATGACACATGGAGATGGAAGCGATAAATCCATGTATTCTATCATACTGCAAACAGCACATGAGCAGTTTTTGGTGATAGAGGGCGAGTGTTGTAATCTCCCAAGAAGATTACTCTTGCCCTGGGGTGAATTCGGAACAATATTGCCAGCGCTCTGGAGTAGAGAGTGAAGTCCTTCTCTGAAGGGAGCCAAGACCCTTGTCCACTTTCATAGGACCTACTGACATAAATCTTTCTGGACACCCTCAAATGATGGTCAATCTGCTCCACTGGGACATTGAAGGTAAAGAGCTGAGAGCAGAAACCAATATGAAATTTCAGAGCTTTTTTGTGGCATTGCAGGTTTAGAGAGTAGTTCTATTTGCACCAATGATACCCCATGAGCAACACATATTGACATGAAATAGGATTCATTGAACCTTGCAAGGTCTAAAATTCATAGTATTTGTCATAACTAACATTTCCTAAGAAATATTTTCAGAAAAAAAATATCCAATCAGTTGAATATTTTTTTGGGGAAAAAAATTGCTTATTTGGAGGAACAAACAATATATTGCTGGGCTAGACCTTATAATGTTTGAACTTTAGTTGAATGCAGTCATTTATTCAAAGCAAATAACATATTCTCATGATCTGGCCATGCCATAAAACTGGGACTTGCAAGCATTTATACCTATTTGAACTGTTTCCCATTTGGTCTCATTACAGCTATAAGCACACAAAGTATTGCATAATTGTTGAAGGAAAATGGATGTGGTTCTAGAATTTTTCATCAAACGAATGCTAAAAGTGGCATGCACTTATATTCAGCCCTCTCCTGTGAGATTCTATTCTATCCATGATGCAAACACCTTATGTATACTTGGGGGCTGAGAAGCTAAGGTGAAGGAACATTCTTATAATGGAGAACCAAGAGAAGAATGAGCAAAACGTGTATCGATTATAACTTAGGATTATAACTGGCATTATAACAAAAATATATTAAATTGCGTGTTTTAGTGATGTTGTACAGCTCCAACATAGAGATAGCTGTTGCTAGCTATCTTTAGGTATGTGTATGTAGAACTAAAGTTGTAAATGTACTTAGCACAACACTGAAATATGGTAATGTTAGCAATATGCAGTGTAGGTATTTCATGGTGGGAAGTCAGGAAAACTGTTAGGACAAACTAGAAGGCAAACCTAGAAGAAATCCTTTGAGAGACTTGAAACAGGGGGAGAGCATTACCTTGTGTCTGTACACAATATAACACAATATATAGAGTACATCCAGAGCTGCAGTAGAATAGTCATATTTTAGGAGCCAAGTTAAAGCCCAGGCCTAAATCCAACAGAGAATCTATGGCAAGATTTCATGTTCACTGACCTACATTAAAAGAGGACTGAGCTTCAGCTATATTGTAAAGAAAAATGGGTTACAAGCCCAGTCTTTAGATGTGCATGAAAGGTTAAAATCTTTTATCTGTAATTACAAAAAAAATTGGTTCCACCAGGCCCTCGGTACAAGAGGCAGAATATATATGTATAAAAAAAGAATAAAGCATTGCATCCGGTTTCTTTTGCACTTCACAATTGTGTATTATTTTTGTTGATGTATTTTAAAATTTCCGGTTATGTTGTAGCATTGCAAAATGTGTAAAAGTTCAAAATATATGGCAAACTTTTTAAAGGGACTGTTTGTACATTGTGTGACTTCTTTGGTAAATTGCATATGTTTAAGAAATAGACAATCTAATGGTTGCTATTAGGTTTGTTGCTTTCTTAAGCGTCTGGTACTACTGCAATTTTACTTTTTTTCTTTGTGCTTTGTGTACATCTGTGCTTCATAACCTCAGAATTAGCACTTCTAAGAGATAATTTATGATTCAATGTTAGCTGACAAGAACAATCAACAGCTATATCAGTTCTGTCCAATTTCACAACATCTACGGCTGTTTGCAAGAATATAAGTTGATTGCTGACTGTTTTCCCACTCAGTGAATATTTATGGAAACACAAGTAAAGAAATCATATCCAAGGAAATTCGAGGTGAATGAATCATCCTGACAATCCAGCTCTAAAAGCCTTGCAATCCCCACAGTGGAGCTCACAGCCTATCAGCTTGTGATAAATGGTGGCGACATTCACAAACACAAGAGGCTGATCTTACACAAAAACATAATTTAAGCAGGCATTTTCATCACAATCAGGTGCAATGGAAACATAAGAAGTGTCCAAATGAATTACTCCTATAAAAAATGAACAAGCGCAATTATTGATTTATTCTACATTTAAAACCATGCAATTTTGCACAGACTAAAAAGACAAAACGACTCTATAAAACTACTCTATAAATTATTTGGGTTTTTGTTGAATTTGATTTAGACATTTTACCTTTTCTGTTGACTGTGAAGTTCCAAAAAAGATGGGGATGAAGGCCAACCAAACAATGCAGGTGGTGTACATGGTAAAGCCAATGGGCTTGGCCTCGTTGAATGTCTCTGGAACTCCTCTTGTTTTGATTGCATAAACTGTGCAGGTGACCATCAGAAGCATGCTATAACCCAGCAGACAGATGAGAGACAGATCTGATATGTCACACTTTAGTACCCCTCTGGACTTTTCAGGATTGGCTGTACGCTGGTCCTCATAGTCGATAATGGCTTGTGAAGGATCGACCCCGAACCAGATGCACACTCCGAGAAGCTGCACCGATATCAAGCTGAACGTGATGACTAACTGAGAGGCTGGAGAGATGAATCGAGGAGCACTGACAGACATCTTGCCCTGCTCAAAAATCCTGTAGATCCGATTTGTCTTGGTTAGCAGTGCTGCATAGCTTATACTCATGCCCAGCCCAAGAAAAATCCTGCGCAGTGAGCATACAAAGACATCCGGGGTGGAAATCATGAGGAAAGTTGTGGCATAACACAAAAAGATACCAGTCAACAGGACATAACTCAGTTCTCGACCTGATGCCTTCACAATGGGCGTGTCATTGTAGCGAACAAACGTGGCAACCACTAGCAAAGTGGCTATTATGCCCAGTACTGCAATCAAGACAGGAATGACTGCCCACGGAGAGCTCCACTCCAGCTTGACAATGGGAATAGGAACACATCCAGTGTGGTTCTCATTGGGCCGCAAATCAAATCGGCACATTTTGCAGGTGTAAGTGTCTGCCTGATACTGATAACCATCACAACTCTCACAGTGCCAACAACATGGAATCCCCTTCACTGTCTTCTTACGCTGCCCGGGACGGCATGGCTGGCTGCAGATGGAGGATGGGACTTCTTGAGTTCCACCTGGCCATTGCATCTCATCAGTCTGAAAAAAGCAAAAACAAAAAAGAGAGGATTTATGGAACAGGAAAACTCCTTACTTTTGATTCAACAACGTATTTGAAATAACAAACCACTCCTGCATTTCCCCACCCCTTTCTTTGCCACATTTTTATACCTCAGTAAATTTATAGGGATATTAATAAATCAGAATAGTATTGAAAATATTTCTTTTACCAAGTCAAAAACAGAACTACAGAGATAATTTACAGAATTTCCTAAAATTATGTAAATTTTAGGTAAATTCTGTTTCTGTTCATTTTGATGATCATGGCTTAAAGTTATGAAAACTCACAAAAAAGTTTGTTCCGCTAAACATAAATATATTACATGGGACTGAAACATCTATTGAGTATTAATCTTTGATGATGGGAGGCTTAATGCAACCTCAAGTTCATATTTCAGATTGTTATTTCTGAAGAAAATGTTAAAATCTCACCAAACATTGATGTAGATGCAATTATTTTTTGCCATAATGTAAAAATCAAGAATGTTGTTTACGCAATATAGTAAGATACAAAAGAACAGTTCATACATTGAGGTGGAGCTGATCCGTCCAGTGCCCAATAATCTTGTATCCTGTGTTGTTGCTGCTGATCTGGTATTGGTAGATTTCATAGCGACCAGGAGCGTCTCCATTCACATTGAAGACCACAGGGGTGCCAGCAATTCCTAAACAACGAAAGGACAAAGAAAATGTTTTGTTGAAACAAGTGGTGAACTTCAGCGTTGAGCAACGTATTTAAAACTTACAATTTTCTTCTCAAACAACCTTGAAATAAAAATAGGTTGCAACAGGACCTCCTTGTGCTTTCAGTATGCTTTTACTGAGGAGGACAAAACAGATCTTGACAGGTATTATATTGTAGTATTTTGAGAAGAGCCAGAGCTTGTCTCTAGGTTCCCATGTCGCTTCCCTCTATTCGCTCTGCTTGTTGCCCCATTGCATGTAATTTACAAGGTCCCTACACATTACTAACGAATGACAGTACTGATTTTCATTACCGCTTTAAGAGCTCCCTCATGTCTCTGCTTTCGGTTTCTAAAGCAATTGATAATCCCCTCTTGAGCTTCACAACTTGTTATAAAATTGTGTTGTGGGAGGAGGAGGATTCACTGAATTAGAGAAAAGATCCAATCATAAAAGCATCATTAATAGCATTTCTAGTCCATTTATATACCTATTCTCTTCATTTCCTTCAATTCTCTATTTTTAAAACTTATCAAAAATACTGAAACAAGTAATAAAGGCTGAAAACATGTCCTCAGTTACCTTGCAGGAATACTCTTCCAATACTTGCAGGAATACTCTTCCAATACTCAGTTTTCTAATGTTGCTTTTTGATGTTCAAAAGCGATACAGAAGAAAACAATATTTACATATGGACCTTTACTAATTTGATAATATTCACACAAAGCTTTATGACATTTTATATTCATGACTGTGATTTATTTGAAAGTAGAGAATTTGAGTACATTGTTCCCTTGTAAAGGCCACAGTACAGCTTTGTGATTGTAGCTGAGAGTTCAGGTTTGAAACATGCAATCCAGTCTCTGCAGCCCTTGCATTCACTCTCACGGTTTTTAATTGCATCAGTGTGATCCTGTTGCAGTCTGGGCATGTCTAAGCCAACAGCAGGAAGTTACTATTACTATGAAGTGTCTTACCAATCGGAGCTATAAAAGGGAATTGATGTTTGTTTCTTTAGACTTGATTGCCTTAATTGATTACTTGCAGCTTCACAGGAAGGCACTGCTGTTTGAACGTTCAACAAATAAATGTAAACAAATTCTTTGTTTAATAATCAGGTCACAGCTTTGATTTAACAGAAAATCTTGATTAGCTCGACTGTTGTTATACCAACGGAGGTATGTGCAGAACAATATGTGGAGAAGACATTCAAAACATATTAATGTGAGCAGGTGAAAAACAGCACTCTTGGTAGAGATTCCCTAATATGAATATCTGTTCTGGAGATGTGGTGACTCCAATATGCCTCTTTTAATTGTAAATTTTAAAGATTAATTTACTTCTTTGTAATCTTCACTTTGTGTGGTTGGAATATAGACCTGGGTGAACCCATCCAAGGCCATTGTCATCAACTCAGAAACTTTAATACTAAATCTCTGGCAACTTTTTACATCAAGCAACTTTCTACTTTAACACTGGAAACTTTACGTGCAAGGACCCCACCACGAATATATGAATTTAAAGATCCAATAAAGGAAGCAATCAAAACGATGGATGATTGGATGGAGGGAGGAAAGGATGGAGGAGATGAGACATCTGGGGAGATTCCCAAATGGATGCTAAGCTGAAGCCTCAGGGAAGGTTTACAGTATAATCTTTCCAGATCTTGCAGACAGTGACTAAAAATAACTGACTAAATAATAATGAACAAAACATCAAGGTAGCTCCCACAGTTGCAGTTCTAAACATATAAATTGTGTTTTTATTTTGTTAACATAAAAAAAAAACGTTTTAGTTACAGCACATTCAAAACCCACTGATGATATTGCAAAATGCTTCACTTAAAATCTTTGAGTAATCTCTTTCAGAGTCTTTCAACATCTTGCATTAAAATCCTTGTGATGCTGTGTAAGACGATCCATCAATAAGTATCATCTTTGTTTGCTGGATATGTAGTCATATCCAACATTCTTGGTTCACATCCTAGAAGGCTTTAAAAATTTCATGAGGTATTGATTTTCTTACCCTAACTGTGATAAAAACACATTGGTTTCATTGTTGTCGTCCAGTCTTCCGGTGATTTGCCATGCCATCACGAAATTGGTCATTCAAAAAGATACAAACTTTAAAATATGTGACACTTGTCTACAGCACAATGTTATAGATTTAAGCCCTACACATACTTTGAGAGTTGACTTGTCTGGTTGAAAACATGATTAAGACTTCGGGATAAATTCACCAATGATTTTATTTTGCACAGACAGAGCTGACCTACTTCCATTCTAATACACACACTCTGGAGCTGTTAAACAAGGTATATGCACTAAATAACATACCTTTTTCAGTGCTTTAAACTTTCTTGTCAATTTCCATTTGGGATCAAAATGTATAAAGCAACCATGCTTGTCAGCTAAGCTTTTGTATTCTATTCCTAACAATAAAGGTTATGTTACTATAAGAAACATCCATTAGAGCTAAAATTATTTCATTTTTAGACCTATTCTTACCTTACTTCTCTGATACAACTTTATAAAACCATCAAAACACCTCAAAAGCACCAGGTGAGATGCCAAGAGAACAAGTTTTAGATTGAGCTTTGGGATATTGCACATTATTCTGATGGAAATAGCAATCAGAAGATGGATATACATAAAGGTTGTCATAAAGAAAATGGTCAGCATTTTTATTCTCAATTGACCCTAAGGGGTGCAAAGTGTCCTGAGAAACTGTATATCATTAAATCACCAGCTGCCTAAACTAAAAGTCAGGATGGATCCATTTTTAAATTTTTTTTATTGTGCTTACACTAAATTATGACCCTACCATCTGGCTGTCACACCTAAAAGAAAGACTTATCATAGAAGGCAACTATTTTTCAACTGTTGTCCAATTTTAAAGAGTCTCTGCATATTGTAGCCTTAACTTCCTGTTCTTTCCAGTAGGAAAGGCACCCACTTTTACCTTCTCTTTTCAAAGTCCATTTTCGTCAAAGGTTCTTGTCTTATGTAAACATAGATGATCATCTGCGTAACTTGTTTTTAATAAGTATTGTTTTACCTACTCTTGCTTGTTGCAGAATCTTAAACCACTCTGCACAGTTCTGTCTGCTCTATGACATAAACAATAAATCTTAATCCATACAACCGCCATATACTGCATGTCTTTTCTTCCATTCAAAGACATAATTGTCTCTGAGCATTTCAGTTGCTGTATTTTCTGAAATACTCAAACCAGCCCATCAGGTTGTTTGGTGACACCAATATGGCTTTTGAAAAAATGTAAATGCAATTTATTATTCATTCTGATGCCCCTGTGGAACTTTGGATGCCTTAGTTATTTACACAGAATTCAGCCGACTTGTTGCTTTAGCAAGCAACCAAAATAATCTACCAGATCTTGTTCCTAGTAAATGACAGCAGTTTGGAAATATTTTGTTAGGTCAATCAAATAAATTGAGAAAAATGGTAGGCTGTAAACTTTTTTTTACATAAGTTAATTGAAATTCCAGTTTGAGAATAGCTGCACCATTTGATTAACTGCATGAGCAATCAACAATCTGGCTGTTGGACAGCCAGTTGGATGTCTCTCTTATCAAACTCTATTGTCAGCTGTCTTGCTGATTGAACAGATTGCTGGTCCAATTTCCTACACGACTGCTGTGTGTTACTGCAATGAGCTGCTGTGACTGAAGAAATGCTACCATGTAGAGCTAGATTAGATGATATTATTTACATGTCATTTTTTTTGTATGGAAAGTACAATTTTTTATGAAGCCAAAATCAGTATGTCTTCAAAAGAAGCAAGGCTTGTTTTCTCAAAGTTATATTTGGAATTTCCAATGCAGAACATCATTTCTTTTAGCTAAACACCTGCAAAGACTGTGGAATTTGTTCCTTATCAGGTGGCAGACAATGATTCTTGAAACTAAAGTGGACTAGAATTGTTTTACCGGACCCACTATCTGTACATTTCCAATATAATTTCCAGTATTTTTATCATGTACTTAGGTCATGTATCTCTACCCTTCATCCAGAGGTCCCTCTCTGTAGTGTTTACAGAGATCAATGTGCCCATCGCTATGCAATCGTTAGTGACTGTGGAGCAAATTTAAAGAATTGCCAAAGCATCTGTTTTGCCTTCTGCTTGATCACATGACCCTTTACTCAACTGACATGGAATTAGCTCAACACGTGACAGCAAACACTAACACAGATGTAAACATTACTGTGTTTTGCATATGACCTGTTGCTGATCTTGCAGTGCTAATTTTGTTGAATCAAGCGCCGATCTTTAAATATCATCTTTTGGTCTCTTTTGCTGAATATTAATCCATGAAGCTATAAGAATGACTCAAGGCACATTCACAAAAGCATTTTTTTTATCTTGGAAAGCAACACATATGTTGGGCTTCACTTTTTTGGAAATGACGGAGAATGGCTTTTCACTGCAAAGTTGTATGGTCAACTGCTGATGGGTTTTCCAAGCTGCTTGAATGAGAAAGGACACAATAGGATGTGCATGGAAACTCAGCAGCAGAGCTGTTACACCCTTGATCTCTTCCAGTAATATTCTCCCCTTGGATAATAGGATGGGCCATTTGCAAGTAATAGTCACTCTCCAGAAAAAGACTGCAATGTCTTTGTTCTTGAATTGAGCTAAATGCAACACCAATCTGCCAGCTAACATTCTTCCACTCACAAAGTTATGGGTCTACTCCAAAACATGCTGATGCCATTGATAATGTCTACTTTAAAGCCCAGTGCATTAATTAAACTAGTTGAGACAAGCACCACTTATAGCTTAGCAGAATTGTTTGTAATTATCAAGTCTGAAAACAGATAGATTTACAAAAATTACTGCAGATCATACTGAAATCTCCCTACATCTTTTGTGTCAAAATACTGTATGAAGCAGGTGTTGTACCATACAAAAAGGTAGTTATTTTTACTGCACACTTGTATGAAACCTCAAATTCTTTTTCATTTGTAGCATTCGGCTCCAGCCGTAATAGATGAATAAGCTGTCAGTTAAGTGTCTTCACATTCTCAGTTCTGTACAATTTGAACTCAGCTGCCAGCACCCTTGAAGTCAGAAATCACTTGCGTGGGCAATTCCATGGTGACAAGATAAGGAAGGAAAATCTCACAAAGCAAAGTTTCTGCTTATCAGCTATGATAAAACATGCTCTTCTTCTGGTGATTGTTAAGATTCTTACAGATCTTTGCCTTTATGCTTGTTGGGAATAATTTACTTTGCCTTTATGCTTGTTGGGAATAATTTACAGTCAGTGAAGACCAGTGGATCCTTATAAAACCTCTGAGTATGCATATTGTGTGCACAGAAAAGTTAAAAAATGGCACACGTGGGATGCCTCAGATCCCAACAAACACAAAATCTCAGTGGCCTTTGTTAAACAAACCTTATATATTATATTCCTTATAATATGTTGGTCTAGCTTACACATGTAGCACAACAAAAGAGCTTTGAATACACACTATGCAGTTTTAAATTTAACCTGTTAGAGGTAGCAGACAAACATACCTGTAAAGTTGACATTGCGAATATACTTGAGAAGTAGCGTGCCATTGATGGTGTCCATTTTGGGACAGAGGCCAACATTTCCAGGACAGAGGTCTTTGTGCATATTATGGAGCGCATGAGCCATGGCATATACAGCATCGATAACGAACTGGACCTTCCCCTCCTGTTCATAGGATGAATCTTTTCCAATCCGCTCATGATCTTAAGAGAAAAACAACATAAAAAAAAGTATTATAATTAATGTCGACTTTCTTGCTAAGCCAAGAAAAAAAAGCTGGACTCTTTTTTTGATAAAAGGAAAACATTCAGATCAAAATTGGACTTGAATATCAATGGATGTTCTGTGAACTAGACAATAGTTACTAGATGTGTAAAAATCAAGCAAATTATAACCCTTCAAGAAGTCTGATTACTCAATTGTGAAACCATTTGCCCTGCTATTTTAATTTATGTTGAGACTGACATTGAATTGCATGTTAAAATAATTGCATGCTATTTTTGCAAGACATCAATCAGGAATACCACTGTACAAATTCAAAGTGATCTTCTTTCATAGCCTTTCTCGGTGTGGGCTGTCAGTCACTTGGACCCACACACTTTTATGCAGAAACACTTTATGTCTCTTAATATTTTTCTGCTGTCCAGTTAAAACCTATGGTCATGTTTTATGATATCATGTAAACATGCTTGTAAAAGACTGATTTATGGTTTAAATGAAGTCATAAACTCTAGCTACAAATGCTGTATAATCAGGAGAGTGAGATGACAGAGCTGTTCCTCTGTTGTTTATATGATCTCTCTTTGTTTATCTCCATCAAGCCATGTGCCACCTTGAATCTATTAGTCATCAGTGCAGAGCTTGACAGAGTGGCATGAGTGAAGAGGAAGACATAGTCAGACTGGCCTAATCATTCTTCACTATTAATGTAATTAGTTATGACAGGTGTATATTAATCATGGCTTGAGTTGTTTTAACGCTTTGGAAATGCATTACTCGCCAAGCAAGTTTTCAATTATCGTCTTAATACTCCTATTAACCACTGCCCTACCACATGGGTTTATTCAATAATTTAAACACTATTCCTCCCCTTCCTTAATCAAGTTAAGTGTGAAAATGAAAAATGTTTTGGTTATGAATAATTTTTCTGTTTCTTGGTATGGTAATGGTTTATCTTTAACAACATCATTGCTTTTCGTATTTAATTTATTCCAATATCTTATTTTCATTCATTGTTGAACTTTCGATAATGCAGGATCAGCTACCAGTGGAAGCTTAAAAGAGTTTTGAGAAAATCTTTCTGTTTGAAGAACAGCAACAGTGTTAATCTGATCAGAACTAATTCCAAGTAGAAGCTCTCTATTTGTCAAGAAATTTGATTTATGCTGCAAAGACAAATCTTTGATTTATGCACAAACTTGTAAACAATTCAAGGTCCAAGGTTTGTGACAGAAGATGTACATCCATTAAATAAATGTGTTTGCTTTTATGAATGCAAGTCTGTGGTTTAGAGCTTGATTAAGTTTTTGAAGATTTTAAATTTTGCAAGCAAGAAAAGGCAAAACCTTTTCACACTTATTGAAAATGATTAAATTTAAGATGCTAAATTTGATCAGACTTTAAAAGTTTCATTTCAAACAATAGTTCTTATTAAGATATTGTAAAATAGTCTAGGAGCTATTAATAGATTATACAGATTATACTGCAGTAAATAATTTATCACAGATATTTTTTTTCTCTTGTTAGACCAGGGCACCTTGTACAGGAAAATGTTCAGTCTGCATTAATCCCTGACAGTGAGATAAAAAAAAGTTACATATTTTTCTGCAGTTATGTAAATATCTGGTTTCATATCATTCGAAGTTGAATGATATTTTGTGTTGAATTATTAATAAAGTATTACCTTCAAAATATAGATAAGGTCAGTGCTTCAAGAGTAAAAAGGGAATAACTTGATGTATCCCTTTTTTACATATGTGACTTTTCTGCCTACTGTTACTTTCATGATCTAATATCCTGCAATGCATTGCAATATTTCTCCAAAATCCACAGCAAAAGTTTTATATGCTCAAAATGGTCAAAGAACATTTGATAGAGAAAGAAAGTCCATCCATCCGCTGTCTAACCCAACTTTTCTTAATTGATGGCCGTCTCCAGTGGTCATTGAGCAAGAGGGGAGGAAAAAAAAATGCTCCACAAGTGTTAAAAGTTTATGTATAATAAAATAAGAATAACTGTATACATGTAAGAAATCATCCAGATGATAAATTTGTATTTGAAAAAACAGGGCTTTCCCAAAAGATGAACATTTGCACCGTTGCATAATTTATCACAAGAGGTGAAACTAGGGCATTGTAAAATATGTATCGGTTAATACAAGTGACAATGCAAATTAGAAACAATGGTATGTTTCTTGAAAAGGCCAAAACCCCCAGCAGCTTGAGTAAATTAAAATTCTTCACCAGTGAGAAAATGCTGCAAGCTTATTTCACTGAAGCATGACTAACTGTTGTACTCAGGCCACTAGATCAGTTGGTCCAAGGATCAGGTTTGCCAAATATGTGTGGTCAAAGAGTTCAGAGTACAGTATCTACATGAAAACCTGTAACTGATTTTTTCCCTATATTTTTTTTTTCTAGTCAAAAAACAGCATATTATTTTTAGGAGTAACAGCACAGTTGCTGATTACAGTTTACAGTTAAGCAAAAATACTCTTTTGTTTACATTATTATAATATAAAATATTTTGCAAGACATTTCAAAAAAGCAACTACAAGGGAGTACAACAAGTTTTTAAATTAATTAAGCTAACCCTTGTTTCTACGTAGAATGCATTCAGAGAGCAGCAGAAGCAGCAACTTCTGTCTTGTATTTATGTCTCTAGAGCAATGCGTTCATGCATATAATTGAACTGTTGGGTATCCGTGTTTTGCCTGAACATAATGCACAGGCCTTGTTGCTATCTGCATAAAGCAGAGGTTCAGGAGTTTACTGATTTGGCATTTGCAAGCATACAAATTCAAGTGAGATGTAAGCTAAGGCTAAAATAAAAAAATTTAAAAAACTGCTTCAAATAGCAACATAACATGGTTAAATACTAATATTTAATTTACTATAGGATCAAATATGTACTTTTAGTAGTTCTATACTAAAATAATATCTTAATTTAGTTTTGGAGCTTGAATTTAGTCATATAATTTGACAGAAAATGTGATCTTCTTCAAACTACAGTGCACCGTAGTATGGTTTTCAATTCCCTGTTTAACGTAACAAAGTTATCATGTTCCTACAAGTTAGCGTCTGATTGGCTGAGCTGTCAATATGGCCACTTGTTTCGCATGCTACACACCTGTACCGTGTTTGCAGAGTCAAAAAACTAAAATATTCTCTTTATATTCTCTGAAATTAATGCTAATGCTCAGAAATATACAGACATCTAATAAATTTTTCATATCATAGTGGCTGTATTGTTGGAAGGGCAAATACTCATCCTTTAAACTAATAAAGAAACAGCTTTAAAAAGTAAAAAAAAAAAAAAAAAAAACATGTAGATTTATACACCATACATTAAAATGGTTTCAAAATCAGCCTGAGGTAAGCAGTGGTTCTTCAGTAATTTCTCTCATGAATGCTGCACTGTAAATGCTTGCTGCTGAGACCTTTCTGTATAAATCTATGTACCTGACTTGAGTGAGGTGATGATACAAGGTTTTCTACAGACTGGCTGCCCTCCACACTTCCTGTTTATATAAATCCACAGAATGCATACTGCAGAATATTGAAAACATCACCTGGGAGCTTGGACAGTTGTCAAGAACAGTATGTTTATGCACAGGGGTCAGACAAGCAAAGTCAGTACATATTTCCTTGGTATCTGGAGCAGCTTACCGAGTCCTGCTGCATCCTCCAGATCTTATGGGAATGTACATTTGTAGTTAGGAAAATTTTGGAAGTAGAATCTGTGATAATGGCTGGCAGGAATGTTCAACATTTTGACTGAATTATTTTAGTTGAAATGGGTGCCTTATTTTTGTTTTGAATGCCATCAAGCAAATTTTATTTGTGAAAATTCAAACCAATTTTCCAAGTAATTTGACAGGGAGTTTTTTAATTAATGAAAGCTGGTACAAGAACATCATCTCACGTTAACATGTAATATGTTATGACATCTGATGTGCAAAGATAAGGGCAGATAGAGTATAATGGAAAAACTGATTTAATAATGAAACTGTCTACATACTGATCACAAATGCCAATGCCACCAATGCATAGGAGCGACAGAATATTGAAAGAGTTCAGCAGTGAGACAATAAAATCAAAAAGCTAAAATACTGTGGAGAAGTGATTGTTACATGGAAACCAGGTGAGTACAATAAACAGAATACAGAACAGCTTGAGAGAACCTAAGCAGGGAACTGGGGGAAGGCTGGATAATTAATAGAGGAGCAGAGATGTATCAGAACCAATACACAAATGAACAACGGGGAAAAAAATCTAACAAAAACAAGCTTTGAGGGATAAACTGAATAAGACAAGAGGATTGCAGAGAATCTAATTAACACAAAGGGAGGTAAACTAAAAAAACTCTATCCAAATGAAAAAAATATGGAGACCAAAATGCAACAAAAATCTGCTATTTTCATGGCAGACTGGCCAATTCTGATCTTTTCAACCATGAAAAAAAATCTAATTTATACCACTTCATTATGTGATATAAATCTGGATACATATCCAATATTGAACACATCTGTAGTCTGAACAGTCATGCTGCATTTTATCCGACTTTTACATCACTGACATGAAACATTCATTGTTAAGTCTCTACTGACAGAAACCAGACATGGTAAATGAATGGCTGAAAAGTATAATTATGAGAATTCTGAATTTATAAATGCATCACATCATAATCACATCACTCCTGGATCCGACTACACATCCAAACAGACTGTTCTCCATTTGCACTTTCTTTTCACTAGCTTACTTTATGTTGTATAGCCACATGATCCCATGACTATACCATACATTCCCATTTCTAGATGATTCTGGTTACACATTTAGATAAAGACATTCTAATTTGCTTAGATAGTAACGGAACACATCGAAAAGGTGTAATGTGTTCGCCATGCCACTAGTTGGTGTTCTTTTAAACTAAATGCGCATGTGTTTAAAAAATAGTTTTACTTGAAAGCTCTTTGATTCGCGTT